GGCCGGCCCTGAGTGGGGCCCGCGGGACGCACGGGCTTCTCCCCCGCTCGCCTCGCAGGGTAGTAAACCAGCACCTGCGTGTCTCTGGAGGGGCTTCCGAAGAGCCCCTGGAAATCCTCTGTCGCACAGGGAAACAAAAGCTGTGCAGTCGGTTTGAAGCGCAGCCTGTTGGCCTCTTGGTCTTTGAACATAAAGTGAGCATATGCTGGTGACAAGCCCAAGCTGTGGTCGAGGAGCAGAACTTTTATCACAATAAAGTCTTGTGTTGATTAAAACCGGCCCATGTGAGGTTATTTTGGAAAGTTATGAATAATGCTTCAGGTGTTTGGGCTCGCTTTCCTCTTTGTGCTGGGTGGGATCGGCGTTATCTGTGTTCATGCTGTGGAATACTTTGAGGAGAAAACAGCTGGTGCTTGTCTGTTATGCAAATAATTAAACTCTTGCTGTAGCCATCGTTTCACATTTAAAACTTGGCTGATGGTATAAGTAAGAAAATCAAGTGTATATATCAAGTATATGTAGTAGAATACTATATATAGTGCATATAGTATCAAGTATATCCAGTAGAACCACCAGGATTTTTTGTGTGGTCTGGGTGCGCAGTTGACAGAATGTGATTTTTATTTATTTATTTTAGACAAGGCAGGACCTCTTCTAGCAACACGTTTGACATGTTGACTCCTTTTTGCTTTTTCACAATTTCTTGGTAAAAGTGGAATGTCGATGCAGGGTAGTTCTGGATATTTCTAGTCCTGGGAAATGGCAGTATCACTGTCACTGTAGGAACCATAGGCATTAAGGTTATTTCACTGAAGGTTCCAGTCTTTTTTTCGAAGTATTTTTATTTTTAAGGTTTGGAATTACAGTGCAAGTAGGCATGTATGTGTTCTAGGCCTTGGCTTTTTGGAAGTTTTTCCTATGTCAGAAGTCATGCATGTTAAAAGTTGGTAGAGAGTTTTGTGCGAACTTGAGTGTCCATATCCGTGTAAAGCTTGTTGTAGGACTTGAGCCTTTATGGAATATCAAGCCAAATTGTTTTTCATTCATCTTGTGACTTATTATAGCCTAGGTTACACAATTAGTTAAACATTAGCACTTTGTTCCAGAAAAATAATATATTTAAAGCTAAACGTACACAAAAATGTTAGTATCTTTACAGAAAACTCTTGCTATTATTGGATCCTAGCTCTTTAAGATCAGCTTTTTAAGTTAAAAGAAGAATTTTCTCCTTTGCCCAAATAGATCAGACTGTAAAGTTCTGATTCTTAAGTAAATTCTCGGGTTTTTTTTTTTTTCTTCAGGCTGAAGACCATATGGCATCAGAACCAAGGATTAAAAAACTGGAACCAGTACTTTTGCCAGGTAGGCATAAATCAGGAATTTGACAGATAGCTCAACAAGGATAAACTTAAGCCTTTAGTTTATTACAATAGAATTGGTAAAATGTTTTACTGTGATTATTGATTTAATCTTAGTGTGCTCCTTGAGGGAATATAACTTGTGAGTAGGAAAGTGCAATGATATTTGTGCCTGAGGAAAATTGTTCTAATCTGCCTGAAATACTAAATAAATACATAGGCAATTTCGCCTGTGTAATGCTTTAATATGTGTAGAATAATGTCTTGGGTTTATTGCGAGTATTTGAAATGAAACCATTGTAAGTTTTGTAACATTTATGACACCTTTTGGAAGACTACTAATAATTATATTTTTGTCAGATAGTCAGACCTTTACCTGTGTGCGGAACCCACTACCATAGCATGTATTGGAGTCTTCTTTTATTTTAAAGGAAAATATTAATAGAATTTCCAGTAGGTAGGTATGACTGACTTCTGTATTGGAAAAATTTTAATACCATCTTTGTTCATTTACTCTTATTGAATGTGCAGCTGTTATGTAATTTTGGAATTTGTAAGTGTCTTTAAACCTATGCAGAATAACCTTTTCAGTGTGTGGATGAGAAAAGCAATGTTTTTATTATCGTTCATAATTACATATTTATAAAAACGTAGGATATTCATGACTTCATATTTTAAGTAAGAAATAATCTTTCGTAAATGACATTTTGATCAATGAAGATTTCTAAAAGCCTTTTTCAGATATCAAAGGAACCATCTACTATTCTCAAGATTACTTTCATTGCAAACTATACATCACAGTAATAAATTTGGCTTGCTGTTTCTAAGGGTAACTTTGAGTTTAAAACAATAGTATGCTGCATTTTTTTCTTAGCATTCATTATATGTTAACAAACATGAATTTTCACACACGTACTAATGTGGGAATCTATTGCTATCATGTCGTCTAAGTTGATAAAACATGTTAACTTTCAAAGCGATCAATAGAATAAACAAGTTACTCTTGAAATATTATTTCTGTCACTGCTTCATATGGGACTGTTGTTAATTAAGCAGTACTAATTGAAATGTGATATGGTCCAGTGAGGTACCTTAAGCTTAAGAGGCTGAAATACTGTGGAAGAGGTTCAACTGAAACAGTAAATAACAACTGACTGATAGTCTTCATGAAACAAAATAATACAGATTTTGCTTGAGGCATAAATACTTTAAAATACATTGCTAAGATTGCTCAGTATTTGAAATACAGTTATATTTTCATGCTTGCAAAACTTCTGCTTACCACTTGGCATTTTACTGGTTATATTGCAGTTGATATTCATCCAAGGTCTTTGACTCACAAGGAAGTGACTGCATGTTCTTCTCTGAGACATTCCACAGAAAATGCAAGGCAGTACGAGATTGCTTTTCTCAAAATGTAACACATCTTGCCTTTGCTGTGGGACACGTGCATGAGCAGTTATAGAAAACAACTTCTGTACAGTAACTTTTTGCAGTGTGGTTAATTCTTTATTTGTGAAACTCCGATGTCACTTAAAATGATGCTGACTGCGTTTGTTTTTCTCAACTGGCTTATATTTATCCCATGTTTGCATCATTTCCCTTGTCTGCACTATCTTTGAAATCGCATTTGATGGGACATTTTGTAGTAAGTTGCCCCAGGTTATGTAGAAACCAATTGAATGAGTATGACTCACCATAGAATTAAAATTTCTACTTCCATATCATTTTAAGGTGCTATTTTGAATTATTTAGTAATAAAATTCACTGCTCTGTACAGCCACAGAGTAGCTCTGACAATCTTTTCATTTTTGTGAGCATCAGTCTGTATGAGGATGGGGGGGAATTTAGAAGTGACTCTTTTAAAATTACTTAAATGAAACTCTTCTTCTTTAAAGTTAAGCATCAGCCTAAACACTTTTTTTTTGTTTCTGTCATCAAATGGTGCAGTAGAAAAGTGTATAAGGAAGTACACATTGTACTGTTGGATAGACTGGCTTTTTGTCATAACCCAAGTTTCTGGCCAAATTCCAACTCATTTAATTACATTAAGGCTGACTTCTACTGCCTTGCAAGTACAGTTTGAGTATGGTATTCCTAATATCCTATCCTTAATAGTTGTGTGAAATTGCTTTTGCTCTCAGGAACAGAGTTAAACCTGAGTGGCTGAATGTTTATTATGCTGCTTTAATTGATGGAGTTTTTAAGGAGTTATTTTGGAAGTAAATTATATTAGCACAAGCAGTTACTAGCTTTTGTAATCTTCGAAAACTGCAAATAGTTGTATTAAGCTTTTGATTCCTAAAACATAGTCACTTTGAGACAGTAGCTTACTAAAAATTGAAATTCCAAAGTCGCTAAATACCCTACTGTCTAACTTGTATTTCTGTGCAGTGGAGGTTAGGAGAGGGAGTTCCAGACATGGAAATAATGAGTCAGGTTACAAAATGAGAAGGTTTTTATTTAAAAAAAGAAAAAAAATTGGAATTTACATTGGAATCAACTTTTCACCTGTAGAGTTTGTTTTTAAAGTTTTCTCTGGTGCCCGGAGGAATAGAGATGCATGTCTTCAGCTTTTGGAACAAAAGCCTGCATTCTCATGGAACTGTGTGCCCTGAGGAGGGTGGTATATTAGGAAAAGCAACAAACATCATTTAAAGCAAGTGAAAACCTTGGCTGTAAGTGGCAACACTGATACTGCAGTAGGGAAAAGCAAATAATTTTATAGAATTTGGTATAATTTCATTCCAAAACACATGATGTAGGTTTAAGATGGAGTTATAAAAATGTTTTCTTTTTCTTTCTGCAGTTCTGTTCTCCTAGTGTAGCTCTGATCAAGAGTTTTTGCAGAGTTAGTTGAAGAGTTGGCCTGTGTAACAGTTTCACTTTTTTCCCTTTGTTTGCATAGCTTGTTTTATAAGCATGTCAAAGAGGAAAAATAGAGAAATAGCAGATAGTCTACCAGTCAGTCTGTTAAAGTGCCTTGCCTGGCTAGTAGGAAATTCGCTTCTGTACTTTAGGGGAGAAGGAAGTTAAAGTTGTTAAACTTGAAGGTATGTTTTGTTCTGGTAATCAACTGTAGCCTGTTTTCCACAACAATGTCTGTAGCATTTTTGAGACATCAACTTAAGCATTCAAAAAAATTGTACAACATAACTGGAATGTAATGCAGTGTGTGTTTTCATGATTTGAATGGCAAAGCAGTGTGCAGAGAGGTGCAATAAGTGGATGGATAATGAACCAGTCCAGTGTCTGCACCGTAAGCAGTGCTGCACCGTGGTATAGGCAAGCTCAGGCGAAAAGGTCCTCACTGTTGCTTACACAGGATGTTCTGCAGGAGATTATGTAACTAATGGAACATCTGATTAAGTGTGAGAAAAGGATTGTTCCTCCTGAATCTCAATACCCACTTGTAGTAATTATTTTAAAGTGTTGCTCAGAATACTAATTTGCTAGTAGATTAAGTTAGTACTTGTTACCTGTAAGTTTTTACAAAACAGCTAGAAAAGGCTTAGTTGTTTTTGTTTTCACAAGTTTATACAGTAAAATTATAGAAGTAAACTGAACTAGAATATTTTTTTATCTTTAAGACTTGCTCATGTTAAGGCATGTTAAAGGAATATTGGTGGTGAGCTGTTGTTGCAAAGTAGTTATTCATAGTCTCTTGTGTCTGCACCATGTTTCATGGTCAGATCGTAGAAGTCCATGTCAGTGCCATCATTGGTGTGTGATCACACCCGTGGTGGGTTTATAAACAGGTCATAAGTACGGCTGGACTGGGTCAGATGTCACCTCTTGCTGACGGTGGCTGCCAGCAGGCATGTAGAAAGAACAGGACTCCCAGCTGCTTGTTCTGCCCTTCCTGCTTCCTTCAATGTGTGGCATGAGGACTTTCCTCTTCGAGTAACGTAATGGGGAGATCCAAATGAGGAGTTAGAACATCATAGGGCCAGTGCTATCATACTTAATTCCTCTTGCTAGATTTTTCTTACGTGAATTTATCCAATTGCTTTCTATAGTGATGTAAACTTCTCTCACCCACAGCTTCATCTGGTAAGGAGTTCAGCAATTCAGTTATATGCTGTTACCAACTGCCTTTATTTGTTTGTTCTGAACTTATCACCATCTAGTTTCTTTGGATAAATCCTAGTTCTTGTATGATGCAGCAAACATCAAGCCGTATTCCCCCATTCCATGTGATTTGTGATTTTCAGACTTGTGTCATATGTCCCCCCTGTTTTGCTTCCCTCTAGCTTCGTTGTCTTAGTTGGTCCTAAGAAGGAAGCTTTCCATATCTTTAATCATCCTTCCGATTACCTCTGAACATTTTCCAGTTGTGCTGTGTTCTTGTTGAGATGGAATTACGTATCGTGTTCAAGATATTTTTGGCTTTTATCTAATAATGCCAATGTAATTGGCTTTACCATCTGCTTTTTGGTTTTGGTTTGGTTTTTTTGTATACATGTGCCCTTAGATAGGCGACTGACTGTAGAAATTTAGTTGTGGGAGGTTTTTAAGACTCTATCATGGAAAGTTTTAATCTTTTAGAAGTGTCTGATTCTCTCACAAGTTAGCTCCCAGATCTTTTTCTATTATTTTTCCTGCCTTCTGCAAATCCTTAGTACATTAAGTCCTATGTTCCAGCACAGCTGCAACACATGTTGTGATAGGAGAAGAAAAGTACACCTTTTTGGTGAGGCACCCTTGTGTGTTAGTACCCCAGCTATGTTCACTCCTGACTGCTTTGCACCCCTCTCTTGTCGTTTTAATTTGGTTTGTGGTGTCCCAGGGCTGGAGGACAGAGGTTGTGGTGTTGCAGATGCCAGCACTATGGCGGAGGGGGGAGGGGAGTAAGAAATAGGGGCCAGGTTAAGGTTAGTGAGGTTAATGCGTAACCCCAGAGATTTGTCAGGTCTGCCTTTCTTGTGTATTAGGAGTCATTTTGGTTTAACACTCGAAGGGGAAACTGGGTTTGTTTAACTGGTTGGTAGAAGTAGTAATGTA